TCTTCTTCATTGGTAAGTCTCCGAACGATGGCGAGCGACGCATTTAATATCAATGTAATGAATATGCAACGTGTGGCTTCGTTAGCACTAGTTAACATTGTCTCCAAATTCGAAAGCCTCAATGTTATTTCGTTCATGTCATAGTCGAGCCACCGGTGCAAATCGCCAGTTCGAGCCGTGAGCAGGAATTGCTCGATCGAATCGCGTCATTGGAGGCATCGATTAATAAGTCTGTCCATGGTGCGTATATGTATAAAATTTCTTGGCAGAAACCGTTCCCTCAGGGAACAATCAGACTACATCCTGAAAAAAGATTTTTTTACTAATCAGCTGTTGTGTTGCAGAATTCGATGTTATCGTAAGCCCGAAACGGGTGAAATTATTCAAGTGGACAGTGAATATTGAGCATGCGACCCTCGAAGCTCTCAAAGATTTCATACGTGCAGTATACCAAACACCAGCACTTGAAAATGATGGAGCGATGTTCGACGTTGTATGCGACAGCGGAAATACTCACCTCGAAACAACCAAGCTTTGCGTGAAATGCTCCAGCTACTCGTATCAAAAAACAGCTTTAAGTTTACCGTATTCATTAGAGAACTATATTCAACATATTGAGTTATTCCCAATTTGCAAAAGAGCTAATACTAATAAGTGATAATACATCATGTCAGTCCAAGGAAATCGTTTCATTTTGGGAATTCGATATTAGAACATGCTACCGAAGAACATGATTACAAGATACTTGAGCAAGTTCGAAGCAAACATGTCTCAATTGGTGGTGCAGACGTTGCTAGGTCGCTCACCTGGTGCTCGACAAGAATGTGCTCATTCCTTGTCTCGATAGAGAATTAGCTTTCAGCTTCACACACGGAATATAAGCGTTGATCGATAGCCTATACATTTGTTATTTTGTTGAGTTTGTTCTTGTCAAAGGATAAAACGTATTTAAATATAATAAAGAAACATCCACCGCTCCGCCGTCAAGTTGACAGGCGCGGGACACGGTGGCCTACCTTTACGTGCAGAACGCTCACCGTCAGGTTGACAGGCATGAGGTCGTTCTGCACGTACCTCTACCACATCGCCGTCAAGTTGGCAGGCATGAATGTGTTAGGCGACTGCAAAGAGGAGTTCACCGTCAAGTTGACAGGCATGATAATCTCCCCTTGCACTTCCAGACACAACTTGCCGTCAGGTTGACAGGCGCAAGTTGCGTGGGCAAAATA